ACGGCTTGCTGTATCCGAGACCACTACCAAGGAAACTCCTGCCGAAAATTGAAGTCTACTTTACGAAATTCCGGTCGAAAAAATTACTCTTCTAAATCACCCCCAGCCTATTTCCTTCTTTTGGGATAATCCTGACTTCCATAAGGACATCAATTTCTATCCCCATTTACAGAGCTAAGTTTACTCTACAATCACCACTTTCTCGTTAGTTAGAATGCTTGAATATGCAAAAGGTCGTTGTTAGGGTCGTTTAAAAACTCCTATGCCCTAAAGCAATAGTTAGGTCGCTGAAGCGATCAAGAGATCAACTGTCTGACTTGGTGAAGAAACGTCTGTTAAGGCTTTGTTGCAGAGCCAAGGTCGCATTCCGCTACCGCGTCTCATTCCATTTCCATGCCTTTTATGGTTGAAACTGAACCCTATCCAATCCCAGGCGTGAAGGAATTGCAAATAAGCCAATGAAATTGTTTGAAAGTTGTCTATCAATTACTTGTTTTGTTTGCAGTTGACGCGTTGCGAGAGCGGAGCGCCGAAGTGATTGTCTTAACAACGAACTAATTTATGGTACTATACAAGTTTCCTGGCTCTCGAGTCATCATACCTGGAAACATAGGATAGGAAAGGGCAACCAGAATTGATATTAGTCTTAGAGGGAAACTAGAGGACACACAATCTTGAGCTCCCCTTTTTGGAGGGAGAAGTACGTTACAAATTTACAGTCAGTATATAAACTTTGTGATTAATAATCGTAGATTTTAGAGGTGGAGCTTCTTCACAAAACCTTAATCATTGTGAACCTCCTTTTACTAAACAAATATCTCCTCTTAGAGTACCCGGTTTATCTGACTTAGTAGAACGACCCATACAGGTTTGAAAATTTGAGAGTTCATTTGCATCCGAGGGTGCACGTCTTGTGACTGGGTGATTTTTATATGCCCATAGCTTAAGTTAGAAGAATTGTTTCTATGCGGTATAGGGACACCCTAGGAAGGCCATAATAGTGTCCCCTTGTCCAAGTTGGCCATATAGTGAAGCCCAGCTCGGAAATATTTTATTCCAAAAGTGAATCTTAGTCAACCCATGAAACATTCTTGTCTTAAAGGATGTGCTTTAAAGTCATGAATGTTTTGATCTTCTTTACTTTTGTTGAAAACCGATAAACAGACCTGGAGCCCAGGTCGTCGAAACAGGACTGACAAGCCCAAGTTCAATTATTACGCAAATCTGTCCGTCAAATTGTAGCGAATTCAGCTGAAGGTGTCTTAGCTACATATCAGCAAGTTTTATAATAACACAGGGATAAGAATTTCTTGTAAGGCCGCCTGTAGATAAATTGATTATTGAACAGGTAATCCGTGATTAATGCGCGGTAAGTGCACAGTAAAATATGAACTAAAGCTGCTTGTTATTATTTTGTTTGAACAAAATGATAGGCAAAACGGGAGCCTGCAGAACAAAAATCTGTAAAAGAATAACCCTATTGGTTAATAAAAGAAACACATAGACCAACAAACCTTTAGGGCAACCACTTTGACCATAAGACGGCCTATTGTTTAAAAAAGGAAGCCTCTTTCCATTAGGCGGCCTCACAACAAAGCTCTACCATCACAGGTTTTCTGCGTATGCGCGTTTCATCAGATTCCCAAACCATGTTGGCTAGGACATTCTTTACGGAGTATAAGGAAGCAATTTCCTGTGTAAAAGTGGTTTTAGTCATTTGGTTTCCCAGCAGTTTCACATCTCATATCCGAGAAAGCCCTTGTTCTTAACACACTTATTTAACTGTACAATTGTTGATTTAAAGTAGACTTACTTGATGGGCCGTTGAAAAGCGAAACAGGCTTTCCAGCCAGAGTGTTATACCTTGACATACGATTAACTGTGCTTGATTTAGTAGCGATGTGAACTGCAGTGCTGCTGCCGTATGCAGTACAAAAGAGCTAGTTTGGTCAATTTGGGGTTTAATAGTCACTTGCCCGTATGTACTGCTTACCTTGATAATGCGGTCGTACAGGTGAAGCAGTCCGGAGAGGTCAGCAATCGAGTTGGGTCGAATAGCGCTCACATAGATGCCCCTCGAGGAGAGACCCTCTGAGAGACCAATGCCAAAGGAGTCGTTTGGCGTCGGCTTGACCAAACGAATCCAACCGCGCCAATCCCGTTCCCGGCTCGCCGATCGAGTCTCGCTGCGTCTCGACGGTGGGGAGGGCATGTTGTCGCGGTTTATTACGAGGTCAGTCTGTGAGGAGCGGGACATTGTCAGGGCCTCTGTGCTCCGATGTGATTGGAGGGTACACCTAGCAGAAATGCATGCGATCGATTGGGGAATTACCTACTGGCAAGATGTTTGCCCTATAAAACAGTCTAAGACTATGCAACCTCCGTATACATATGTATGAGCAATAAGGTCCTTTGGGAAAGAAGAAATATATGTAGAAAGAAGGCTCGTCGGAAAATGGAGTTTTACTCGTGAATATTTGAGCTCGTGACAATAGCTCGCCGTCAGACGGAATGAAATTGAGGGCTGGGATTGTCACACTAGAGGTTTTGGGGGCAGATGTCACCTAGAACATACTTATATGGATATCGGCGAAAATGCTGACCCCAGGGACTGAGCTGGAATAAGAACCTAAGGCGATGTCTGAGGAGGATGGTATATTCATTATCTGACGTTTCACATTCGTTCTTGAGCGCATCATCGGAGATAGTGAAAAATGGGAAATGCATGGTTTAAATAAGCCCTTTTCTTATTCACTCCTGATAGGTCCATCAGGGTCTATTAGCATTAGTCTATTCTTCTTGCCTAGGTGGTGTTTAACAGCCTCATATGGCGCCGGTAGATCTATCCTTCTACTGATCGAGTTGGCATCCGATTGCCAGGCTTCGATCATCTCCCTCGCCATTTTGTTTTCTGCCCGGCCGATAACTTTTGCGCTGTCGAACGCAAACTGGTGTTCATTTTTACTCTATAAGAGGACACACTCGTCCGTCCATGGTGCCCTTAGAGCTCTCACTCCAGCCTACACCGTGGGGCGGCTAAGGCTATGGGCAGAGGGACATCGCCGACGAAAACAAATGAGACTAGAATGACAAGTTTCGGCTTATTAGCCGTCGTCAGCTAGTCCTTCTCAAACCCAAGTGGTGTCACACCCGCGTCTCGAACTCGTGACCCCTCTGATCGGAGTCAAACACCCTAACCATTGAGCTACGAGCTCGCTGTCTTGTCCATATTTGAGCGGGGACATACAGTAGCGGATAGGCGCACACTGATCTATTAGATCTATACGCAAAAACTTCCATTGTACACTTGGAAAGTCGTATTGGCAAACAATTGTTTTCGGTTGTTCCTCTTCAGGTTGGTGTTATGACATGAAGAATAAAACGATCACAATAATTGACCGTACGAATAAGCATAGAGGGCTACATAGGAAAGTATGCACTCAACGTAATAACAGGCATTGAATGAGGTTTCGAAGGTTGGAATATTTCCCTGTCTGTGGAAATTTATATGGTCACACTTGGGGCTCTTCAGCACGATAAAGCAATCAAAAGAAAGCACTTCGAGTATTAGTTTAGTCAGTTATCTTCATTTATTTTCCTAAAGGATTAGTTTTTGTTTAGAGACTTGTGAAATACAAACTTCGTTTTTTTGTTCTTGTATTAACGTAATTGACAATCAGCAGATCCACGCGCGAACACTTGCGTAAAATTTAATACTTATTTGCCTGCGTGTATGTGTTTCGCCGATCTAGTAGAGGAACAATTAAGTTCCGCTTTGCCCAGGATCTCGCAACGCAAACCCTCCAGGCCATCACATAGTGACTAAGATGATATGATTAAGTGGATCCGACAAAGCAAAGGGAGACTGAAATGGCCATTTCTGGCTTATTAGCCGTCATCCCCCAGTCATACCCAATCTCGAGGGTTGGAACCCCCGAGATTTGAACCCGGAACCCTTGGTCATTGAGTTCAATACTCTACCTCTAGGCCACTGGTTCTTTGCTTTGTCGGTTGAGATCGGAAATATGATGAATGCATGTGTATTTGCCTCTGAGCAATGTATAAAGGAGAATAGTGTAACTAGATTAATTTAAAATATACTTTACACAAAAGTACCACACTGTTGACGACACTAGCCTACAGGCACAAATCTGCAGATACCAGAGACCTCTCGGCGTTTTGAAATAGTAAAGGTATATTATACGCTTAACCAAATCGACGAAGAGAACATGAGAAACAGCCAAGGGCAGCCCTTTGGAAAATCTGCTAAGCAAAATTTCGTGTCAAAAAACGACGGCAACATGTACAGCATATTTAATTCTCTTGTTGCCGATCACAGCTTTCTGAAAGAGCGATAAAGTATTCACCAAAAAGTCAGGTTGCAATTACTTATGGCTTGACTTAGCACTGCCTTCTAGAGATTCCAATATAAAATCCTGCATAAATAATGCTTTCTGTTCAAAAGAAAGGGGCGGAATTTTGATAGGTTTATATTCTACCGTTGAGATGCTGGCAGGCACACCTTTGAGATCTTTACAGTTTTGTCATTAATAATTGATTTTTTTGAAATGCATGGTCTTCATCAAGCACCATTTTAGAAACCCGTTTTAAGACCAAACTCAAAAGAGAACTTTTGGCTTTCTCATTGGGAAAGGCATGAAACAACTCGAATAGGTCTTTTGAATGCTCCAGCACAGTAAGTATCAACAAAATTGGGCAACTGACATGCATTTGCACTTGAACAATTCGTAGTAAAATATTGCTATTCATAGTTTTCCATCTAAGTAAATTATACGCATGACTTTCGACGAAAAGCAGGATAACAGACGATACCCTAAGTGGTTGTAGATAGAAATTGCTTATTTTCAATTTTTATTTATTTAATCCATAAACGAAGTCTTTAATACCTCATTGTGTTCCATTAATTATTGTGGTATACCGTGCGTAGCATAGTTAACGTTGAAAAAGCTCGAGTGCCTTTCTGTAAAATAATACTAGCTAAACGAATTTAGTATCTTTTGGTATTAAAATTTTGTGTGCTAATCAAATTTGATAAACGCCACAGGCAGTTGCTGTCATACGCGAATGAGCGTTCATCTGTCTCATTGTATGACGTCAGTCCACCTATTCAATTTGAGTTACGTCCAATGTCATTCCGACTGAGGGCTGCCAGATGTCAGAGTCTCCATCCCCACAGTCATCCTATGCTAATTAAGCAGTCAATATGCTCGAACGTTTGCTGTCTGGG